GGATGGATGGATGGATGGTGGGTGGGTGGATGGGTGGACGGATGGATGGATGGAAGGTGGGTGGGTGGATGGGTGGACGGATGGACGACTCTATAAAATCCTTGAAATGAGGAGAACATCGGAAGCACTTCTACTATTGAGCATGATGTCTTGTGAGGAATCGCTTAATGAACAAACATTTGGGACCCACTCTCATCCAAGGAAGTCTGCCAGGAAGATACAGGCTTCCCATGGGGCCAGCTGAGCTGGAGGAGAAGGGGGCCAACCACTTACCTGGGGCCACCCCGCTGTAAGCAACTCCAGAGACACGAAGGAGGGGATTTCCCTCATGGTCCTCGCCCTTCACCTTGAGGTAGAAGCGCTCCCGGGGGGCTTGGAAGGGTGGCCCGCTCCACAGCTGATGGGTGGATTCGTTGGAGAGCAGCTGCGTGGGCAGAGTTAGGAGGCTCCGTCCTGAGCCGTGGGAAAGTTCCACTGAGTCCAGGTGGCCAGGAGCCTGCAGACCCGTGGAGTTTATCACCAGCGAGATGGGCACCCCTGAGGGGGAAAGGGAGAAGGAAGAGGTGCTGGCATCTGCAGTGGGGCTCCTTGACCCTCCCGAAGCAGAGGCCTTAGGTCTATATCTGAGGGACCCAGCCCTCTTGCCCCTCTTTCACCCACTCCCTTGCCTTGCCCACCTACCACTGTTCCAATCTGCCCTGGGGGTAAGACAGGGAGGGGTCTTGTCCATGGTCCTGAAACAGTGCTGTCCACCCCGGCCATGCTTCCCGCATGGCTGGGCTGCCTCCCCATCTCCTCCGCTGACCATCTCTCATGAGATAGTGCTGGAAGGGGCATTTTGGTCCACCACCACCCGTATTTGCTCTGGGGCTGGCCATCACCAGGCGGACTTCTGGGAGCACATCCTAGCTTGGGGCTCTGATGGCTGACCAACCTCTCCCCAACCCCCCACTCGGCTTCTTCGGTTTTCCTTTCGACCTTAATATAAGCAGGGTGCTTCTCCACGACCCCCGAGAAGAGCTCAGACTGAGCTCAGGCCTCCTCATCTCCTTTGTTGATTCTAGAACCTTGGTTAGGAGCCTCCCTTTTCAGTTACCCTGTCTTCGTTATTGTTTGGTTTGGTTTGGGGTCTTATTTTCTCAGAGGTCACAAACCAGGGACCTGTGGGTGTGGTTGGTTCGAACCATGAAATGTCTGGATATTTTCAAAGCAACATTCGACCATCTGGAAAGTGCACAGAGAAACCTAGATGTGCAGATCCTTCTGGAAATTCAAATGTGTTCCTTGCGGGCTGCCATCCCCACATCGTGAGTGGTGGTGTGTGGCGGCCACTCCCTGTGGTTGGGAACTTCACTGTCCAATTAGCTACAGCCTCTTCCATTCCCTGATGCCTCCGGCCCTGGGGCCAAGAGTCAGTCACCGTATACCATGGCCGTCCCTGCTGAGTCTCCTGCTAACATGGTCTTGGAGCCATGATCTCTATCAAGGGCAGAAATACTAGAGAGGACCGTGTGGTTCCCACCCCGGGGAACTGGCCCTGGGAAGATTTCCATTTCGTTTTCCACGCTAGCACTACATTGAGGATTTCTTTCCTCAGCCAGGATGGCTTTAGAGCAGGAGCTGTGATTCTCTGCTTCTTCCACTTCTTGCAAATGGCAAAAGGAACGCAAAAAGCATCCAGCCACCCCCGCTTCACTCTTGGTCCTGATAGGGAAACCTATACCTACAGCAAACACGATGGGCCTGAAAAGGAGGACTAAACCTCTAAGGGTCCAGTGCACCTCACCCTTGGTCGCTATTCAAAGGTCCACAGGTAGTCTGGCCTGCTTCAGACCCTCCCAGGCTCTTCTGAGTGGTCCCATGGTGGAGGACCCCAGCTCTGTCACTCAGACACTGCTTCGCGCTATGTACAGAGCTTCACCAGAGCCTCTTCCTACACGGGGACCCTGCATCCCCAGGTGGGACAGGAACGGCATGCTGAGACACCGCCAGACCGGCAGCTTCAATCAGGAAGGTCTGACCCTGTGCCTCCAGCTTCGACGTCCTCCCAAACGATCACAACCCTCATCAGCCTCTGGGGAGTCTGAATGCCCGGCCGGGCTTTCGATCCTCTGTGGAAGAAGGGGCATCCCTCTCCCTGAAGGTCGGGTGATCAGCTCATTGGCACACCCCCTAACTCGTCTTATTTTCTTGAACTGATCTGGCATTGACTGGAAAACTGAGCATACGGGACTCTGAATGTACAAGTTGTGACAGAAAAGAGAAGTCGAGACCCAAGGTTATTAGGGGTCACCAGGGAGGGATAGGTGGGTGCAGGGAAGGGTAACTATGACTGAAGGGACACTGAGATTCTGCGTCGGGTGATGAAAACATTTGGAGATGGTAATGGTGATGGTTGTCTTGCATGGTCAGCATAACTAACATCATCGAATTGTACATATGGAACATAGCAGCGACTACAAACATTTTGTTTGATGCATGCATCTATGTATATCCACAATAAGCAAAAAAGAAAGAAAGATTTAAAAAGGAAGTCGGAGGTCTGAGCTCAGTACATAATCAGGAAGACAGCAGAGACCTGTCCGGGGGGCCTTGGGTTACTGAGAAGGTGTTCTAAGCTGGATCACATGGCAATGGTGGAGTGACGCTGACCCTGAGACCCAGTTTCTGTGACTATGATATGGGGAATGGGCCAGCTTCAGCCTCTGCAGTGTCCATAATTGCACACAAACACTCAAGCCCGACCCTGGATACCCACCACTTCCCAAAGCCCAAGTCCTATCTCTTCAGGAGGCAACCCGGCACCCTCAGGGCCAGGACCTCAGTACCTTGCAAGGGCCACTCGATGGTGTGGTTGAGGTCCAGAGAGGGCTGAGTGGAGAAGCCAGCGCGGAAGTCAATGTCACTGATACCTGTGATCCTCACCGAGTGGCGGCCACTGCTATAGACCTAGCACAGACCAGGGTCCCATGTCACTGGGGCATCCCAGCCCAATGTCTCAGTTGAGTGTGAGGGGCTATCCAATCCCCCTGGGTGTTCAGCACAGCACCTCCCCCCAAAATGAAGTGGAAGAAGCCCAGCTTGAAACACTACCGAGAATGGGCCCCCTGATATGCCCTGTCTCCCCAGCTCTCCCCCAGTTCTTGCAGGCCCTGTCTGGCCCCCTCCTATGTGCCTTCCCCATTGGTACAAACAGCTATTAGCTCAGAGAAGCTCAGAGTTTGAGAGGCAGGTGGTTATTGTTGACACCCTACATGCAGCACCTAACTCAGCGGCGGGCACCCCAAGAGGTACTCAATCAGCAGGAGCTCACCTCCCACTTTCTAAAGCAGCCACCTGCCCCATCCCAGGATACTTGGCCAGAGAGGCCTTCCTTTCATGAAGCCAAGCCTACCTCCAGTGCCTGCCCTCCAGCACCTTATAGAGATGCAAGTAGGTCTTGCTCCCTCTGCCAGCCCTGCTCCTCTCAGTCACCCTCCGAGGCCACCCTTGCTACCTCTGTGCATTCTTCACTGGAGGTTTCTGAGTCATAAGAAGCCACCCACCTCTGGACCCGCGGATTGCTCCATGGCCATCACTGTTCCCACACTAACCCAGGCGGCTCTCATGGCTTCCACTTGCATGGCCCAGAGACATCGCCAGCCAGGCCCCGGATTCCAGAGCCACTCACCTTGATGGACCATAGCCCAGGGTGCTCAGGCTTAAAAGCCACCACCTTGGCCGAGTCGGGGATGTTAAGGAGCACGTTGAGACCCTCGTCCTTCTGCAGGATCCTTCCTGTGGAAGCCCCCCCCCCACAAACACTGTTCAGTCCCTGACCCTGTTTTAGGGGTGACAGGGGCCCCACTCTGTCCCCAGGAACCCAGAAACCCATGGCCCAATTAAACAGCCTAAGGCTTTCTGGAGAAGCTGACGTTTGGGTCGCGAGCCTTTGATGGTCCTTAGACACCATCGTCTTCGGCACTCCAACCTCATCCCTCCCCAGGTGCCGGCTTCCAGAACTGGGAGCTCCGTGGGAGCAGGAGAGAGGGTCCCAACCACACCTACTCTGCCCGACTTTGTGATCTTGGCAAGCCACTTCCCCTCTCAGCGCCCCAGCTTCCCATTTGAAAACGGCTGCTCATTCTTGCCCAGGTCAGCCCATGAGATTGGAACACTTGGTGCGTGTGAGCCTCCCACACCAGGAATTGTCTTTATTTCAGTTCCCGTTGCTTGGCTGCTACTTGCCTCCCTGCCCGTGCCCCTCCTGCCAGCCTGCTCCTGGAGCTTGAGTCTGAACCCCCGGCCACCCTAAGACTGTTTTTTCCTTGGGCTCCCTGCTCTGTCTCAGCACCCTGGTGGAGGCCCACACCGAGGCCCACGTACCCAGTGGATCTCGGACTTCGATCTCGGGCCCCGGCCCACTCAAGGAGATGGTGACCTCCTTCAGACTGGGGTCAAAGGGGATCCTCCACGTGTGCTCGCCCTCCTCCTCATGGTCTGTGGACAGCAGGTGCACCTTCGAAGTCTGGATCGCTGACTCCACCCACTTCAGCACCTGGGGAGATGGGTGAGAAAAGCTGCTGCCAGCGGGTGCCCATCACCTCTTGTTTGTGTCGGGCCCCTTAACTGACTGCCAGCTGTGGGCAGATCCAGTTTCCCATGGCTTTTCATGTCTTGTCTGGTCTTTCCAAGACAATCGAGACCACGCCACGCCCCATTGCCCACACCAGGCCCTGTCTGCATGCTGTCGGCCTCCCGGTTTCTGTGCGTTCTCACGTGTGACCCTGGCATCCAGGGGATGCATCCCAGGGGACAAGGTATCCCGTGGGCTGGGAAGACTCTTGTCACTGTCTTCACCTGGCCAACTCACACTCCTCATTTCTTCCGAGAAGCTCTCTTTATGCCTCCTGGATATCTGAAAATTTCCCCAGGCCATATAGTTCATGCTCACCCAACAATGGATCTCATCACCAGGATCACCACCCCCATCCCCCCACCTCTACCACCACCACCTCCACCACTACCACATTGACCACCATCATCACCACTACCATCACCACCCACCACCTCTACCACCACCACATTGACCACCTCTACCACCACCACTACCATCACCACCACCATTACCACATTGACCACCATCATCACCACCCACCACCTCCACTACCACCCCCATCACCACTCATCACCTCTACCACCACCACCTCCACCACTACCACATTGACCACCATCATCATCACCACTGTCACCACCCACCACTTCTACCACC